TGTTTATTATCCATAGCTTCCAACAACATGTCTGTCACTGCAATGTTAAGTGTTTCGGTAGAATGTTTTTTCCGGTTACCACTTTGATGCTCCGTTAATAATCTGTGGTTTGTTAGATGTTCTGTATACTGATTCAGTGCGACTTTGTCGCATATTTTTGACAAGCATGACAGCAGTGAAATCGGTCGATTATTTGAAGCGATTTCAGGATCCCCTTCCTTGTGTAGCGGTACCACTTCTGCTATCTTCCACATTGAAGGATATGTTGACGTCATCAAGGAACAGTTAATAATATCCGTAACAGGATCTAAAATCACTTCAAGTGAATCTGTAATGAATTGAATATTTATCTTATCGGCACCTGGAGCTTTGTTTGATGAACTATTTAAAATAATTGTTCTAACTTCATCAGGTGTGACTGTTCTAAATTCAAACAGATCAAGAAAAGATCGGTGTCTTGCAGGTGGTAAAGCAGTTGCTATCTGAATGTTGTTAACTTCCGCAAGTCTCTTGACCTTGTCGGCTGCAATCTTCCCCACAGAAGCAAAATATTCATTAAATTCATTGGCTACTTTTTTGTGGTCTTTCTGGTAAACGGGTTTTTCTGAATCTTTGCTCGGGATACACCCCCTAATCACTTTCCACATAGATCTTGAATTACCTTTATATTCCTCAATTTGATTCCGGACAAAGTTGGACTCTGCTGCTCTTAAAGATGTTTTTATAGAATTCCTAAGTTGCCTATAGACGTCCCAATCTTCCGCGTTACGTGAGAGGCGAAAAATTCTCAGCTTTTTGTCTCTCAGTTTCATCGTGCACTTTAATTCTTTATTAATAAACTGATTAAGTCTGCCTTCAATTCTGATGTGTTTGATAGGCGCGTGTTTGTTCAGAGTATTTATGAACAATTGATTGAAGTGATCAATTTTCTCATTTACATCACTAATGCGATAGGTTTCATGAAACGGAAGTTGAGACAGTTCCGCCTTGAAACTCTGGGAGTTGTAGTTCTTAAAACTTTTCACATCCATGTATTCAAGTCGAGGCTTGAGCAAGGAGTGAGCGAAGAAATAACCCAGAAGTCATGCAGGAAATATTTACAAAATTGTATTTTTTATTTGTCATGAATACTATCAATGTTACACAATAGTAAATATCAAATTTCATTGTGCGCAGAATGTCGGTGAGCAAAGATAGATCAGATTTCAATAGACAAATTATGCCTTACAACACGTCGCAAACGTTAATACAAGGAAATATATTTCTACACCAGTACCGACCGATGTGGCTGTTATTTAGCTGTTGGTGTCTATCCTAAACTACAAGGATTTATTTAATACTGAGTCTGAGATGTGTAACGAAATATAGACTCTTTTGATTTCTGAAATATCGCAAACAATGTTGCTTGTAAACAATGCTACTCGGACTGCTGAAACTTCAGAACCATCCTCAGAGATACGAAAAACCAGAATCTTTTGAAACTTGATGCCCAAGAAATATGTCGAAGTATACCTCTCTGTTATCAAACCTACGGTAAAATAATTCGACAATAGCCAACTCAAAGATAAGTCAAAGACTCGTTTGTGCGTGTATGTTACAAATAGGCTACGAATACTGTATATGTTTGACTTTTTATAGGACATTTAGAGAATGCAGTCCGCATGATAAATTCGATAAATAGCTTTAATTGCGACTTTACTCATTAGCTTTATTGTAATCAAGTACTTTGTGAAATGTAACACTGAATCAAACTCTTAAGACTATGTAAGTGTTATTACTGTTATAAATATGTCTGTGGTGGGTACATATGACTATATGTGCATATCAGACTGAGTGTGATATCAGTGTTTATGCCGTTGTTTATTCCGTGGTTTATGGAATTATCTACTGACTATGTTCATATTGTAAAGAGTGTACTGTATATCAGAAAAATACTGTTATAAATATTGCTGTTACCCCATTACTTAGTGCATGGACGCCAAAAAATTATCAGGCTAAAGCCGTGATTGTATATACCACCTGATGATACACGCCCTGAGGCTGAAAATTGTTGTACTTTACTACCTGCCAACCTCCTACCCTACCGATCTAAAGGGTTTTTTAATAAATATGACGAACTATTTAATTAAAAGTATTTTCAAAGATAAATCATCGACAGTTTTTAAAGTGAGCATTCAGTCTCTGTACGGCAGTGTCCACATGTTTACATTGTGATTTGTGACAAAAAGTTAATTATATTTCAAAATTTTATCAACCTTCACTATAAAATGAGACGCGTACTATTAGTAAATCTGCACAAAGTTTATCAACGTTTTCAAACAACAAATCTAATGGCATATTTTAGGAACAGATAAAAGTGAAAATGTACAAACGTTGACGACTGACCAGTTTGATATGAAAATATCTTTCAAGAGAATACCCAACTTCAAAGTTTAAAGTACACATTTTATTTGTTTCTTGACTTGACTGTTGATAAAATGCTACAGTGTTTTTGTAATTTAAAAGCAAACGGAGGTATAAAATGGAAGTTAGCGGGAGCTTCGAACTATATATTGTAAAATCCCACTCCTGGTATTTGAAATTTAACGTTTTCTGTGGAAGCATGTAATTTGATACTTTGCCACTCCCCCTTGGGCAATCAATTTTTGTAAATTTCTGTCGATGATTTATCTTTTTGTAGAGTCCATGGGAAGATTGCTTGTGATGGCCCTAACTGAGACTAATTAACCCAATAACCCTCTCACCCAAGATATCATGGGGCATTAATAGATATGGAATTTCTTCAATGGAGGATGAGCCCTCCATGAACCAGCCCAAGACTTGCTTGGGTGCCTTCACGTTGTAGTGAATTCTCCATTAGTCCACGCTTCTGGAAAGTATGTCACCTTGGCTATTAATGAGCCTCATTTTCATGATTGATACATTAGACTTGAACTAATGTCATATACATGAAAACGAGGCTCTATAGCCAAAGTGACATACTTTCTAAAAGGGTGTATTGTGTAATCACGATTTTACTGATATACCATGAGAAACAGGCCAACTGACCTTGCTAGGAACTCGCAAGAATTTTTAAGAATTTTTAAAGTAAGAAGAAATTTTAGAGGTAGGAATCCTAAACATACTTCAGGAAAAATATTCTTTTTTCCCACCTGAGTTAGCTGGGATGAAATATGGTGTATTTGTCCAATATGTAATTGCATTTTGCTGAGTTGTTCCAGCAAAGCAAATTGAAAAATCACACATGCAGAGTTTCAGTTTTGAAATTTTATGGTAAAGAAATGTCAAGCATCGAAATTTAGTTTATGTTTCAATAAACACTTTTATAAATTTAGGATAATAAAGTGACTGCTTTTTACAAGTATGAATGCAAGCCAAAAAAGTGTTGGGGTTAATACTCTACAAAAATTGATTCTACAAAAATTGAAGAAAAAAAAAATGCAAGTCAATTTACAAAAATGCAAGTCAATTGATAGGTCTTTCCCAAAAAGACCCTGGGTACGAGGATGTTCGCTGATTTTAGCAAAAAATCCGCAGACAAATGAAAACAAATCAGCCGATTTTAGTGCTTTTGGAAATGTTTTCAGATGCATCCAAAACCAATCTCTAGACAAATGCAAACAAAATAGCCAATTTATAGCTCGTGAGAAAACCAACCTGCAGGAAAATACAAATCAATTTACCGATTTTAACACTAGTGAAAATGGTTTGCGATGCATCCAAAAGCAACCTGCAGCAGAAGGCAAATCAATTGACCGATACGTCCAAAACTATCCTACAGAAATGCAAAGCAATTCGCTGATTTTAGCAAAAACACCCCAGACAAATGAAGGCAAATCAGCCGATTTTAGTGCTTTTGAAAATGGTTTTAGATACGTCCACAACCAATCCCTAGACAACTTTGCCAATTTATAGCTCATCAGAATGGTTTTGGGTGCGTCCAAAACCAACCCTGCAGGAAAACACAATTCAATTTACCGATTTTAGCGTTAGTGAAAATGGTTTTGGATGCATCCAAAAGCAATATATCTCTAGACAAATGCGAAAAAAATTAGCCAATTTAAAGCTCATGAGAATGGTTTTGGATGCGTCCGAAACCAACCTGCAGCAAAATGCAAGTCAATTGACCAATATGTCCAAAACTATCCCAGAGAAATGCAAACCAATTCGCTGATTTAGCAAAAAAAAAACCAGACAAAGGAAGACAAATCAGTCGATTTTAGTGCTTTTGAAAATGGTTTTAGATATGTTCACAGCCAATCCCTAGACAAATTTGCCAATTAATAGCCCATCAGAATGGTTTTGGATGCGTACAAAACCAACCCTGCAGGAAAATGCAAATCAATTCACCGATTTTAGCGCTAATGCAAATGGTTTTGGATGCATCCAAAACCAATTCCTAGACAAATGCAAACAAATTAGACAATTTATAGCACATGAGAATGGTTTTGGACGCGTCCAAAACCACCCTGAAGGAAAATGCAAATCAATTTACCGAGATGTCCAAAACTATCCTAGAGAAATGCAAACCAATTCGCTGATTTTAGCAAAAGATCCCCAGACAAATGAAAACAAATAGTCGATTTTAGTGCTTTTGGAAATGGTTTTAGATGCGTCCAAAACCAATTCCTAGACAAATGCAAACAAATTAGCCAATTTATAGCTCATGAGAATGGTTTTGGATGCGTACAAAACCAAACCTGCGAGAAAATGAAAAACAATTGACCAATATGTCCAAAACTATCCTAGAGAAATGCAAACCAATTCGCTGATTTTAGCAAAAAAATCCCCAGATAAATAAAAACAAATCAGCCGATTTTAATGCTTTTGCAAATTGTTTTAGATACGTCCAAAACCAATCCCTAGGCAATTGCAAACAAATTAGCCAATTAATAGCCCATCAGAATGGTTTTGGATGCGTACAAAACCAACCCTGCAGGAAAATGCAAATCAATTCACCAATTTTAGCGCTAATGCAAATGGTTTTGGATGCATCCAAAACCAATCCCTAGACAAATGCAAACAAATTAGACAATTTATAGCTCATCAGAATGGTTTTGGATGCGTCCGAAACCAACCCTGCAGGAAAATGCAAATCAATTCACCGATTTTAGCGCTAATGCAAATGGTTTTGGATGCATCCAAAACCAATCCCTAGACAAATGCAAACAAATTAGACAATTTATAACTCATCAGAATGGTTTTGGATGCGTCCGAAACCAACCCTGCAGGAAAATGCAAATCAATTCACCGATTTTAGCGCTAATGCAAATGGTTTTGGATGCATCCAAAACCAATTCCTAGACAAATGCAAACAAATTAGACAATTTATAGCACATGAGAATGGTTTTGGACGCGTCCAAAACCACCCTGAAGGAAAATGCAAATCAATTTACCGAGATGTCCAAAACTATCCTAGAGAAATGCAAACCAATTCGCTGATTTTAGCAAAAGATCCCCAGACAAATGAAAACAAATAGTCGATTTTAGTGCTTTTGGAAATGGTTTTAGATGCGTCCAAAACCAATTCCTAGACAAATGCAAACAAATTAGCCAATTTATAGCTCATGAGAATGGTTTTGGATGCGTACAAAACCAAACCTGCGAGAAAATGAAAAACAATTGACCAATATGTCCAAAACTATCCTAGAGAAATGCAAACCAATTCGCTGATTTTAGCAAAAAAATCCCCAGATAAATAAAAACAAATCAGCCGATTTTAATGCTTTTGCAAATTGTTTTAGATACGTCCAAAACCAATCCCTAGGCAATTGCAAACAAATTAGCCAATTTATAGCTCATGAGAATGGTTTTGGATGCGTCCGAAACCAACCCTATAGGAAAATGCAAATCAATTGACGGATTTTAGCGCAAATGAAAATGGTTTTGGATGCATCCAAAACCAAATCCTAGACAAATGCAATAAAATTATCCAATTTATAGCACGTGAGAGTGGTTTTGGATGCGTCTAAAACCAACGCCGCAGGAAAATGCATATCAATTGCCCGTTTTGGACATATCGGTCAATTGATTTGCATTTTAATTTGCTGCATATTGGTTTTGGACTCATCCAAAACCATTCTCATGGGCTATAAATTGGCTAATTATTTTGTTTGCATTTGTCTAGAGATTGGTTTTGGATGCATCTAAAACCATTTCCAAAAGCAATGAAATAAGCTGATTTGTTTTAATTTGTCTGGGGATTTTTTGCTAAAATCAGCGAATTGGTTTGCATTTGTCTAGAGATAGTTTTGGACATATCGGTCAATTGATTTGTACTTAGCTGCAGGTTGGCTTTGGACGCATCCAAAACCATTCTCATCAGCTTTAAATTGGTTAATCTGTTTGCATTAAATGGATGCGTCCAAAACCAACCCTGAAGGAAAATACGAATCAATTTATCAATTTTAGCGCAAGTGAAAATGGTTTTAGATGCATCGAAAACCAATCTCTAGACAAATTTTGTCTAGAGATTGGTTTTCGATGCATCTAAAACCATTTTCACCTGCGCTAAAATTGATGAATTGATTCGTATTTTCCTTCAGGGTTGGTTTTGGACGCATCCAAAACCATTCTCATGAGCTATAAATTGGCTAATTGTTTGCATTTGTCTAGAGATTGGTTTTGAAGCATCTAAAAGCATATCCAAAAGCACCAAAATCGGCTGATTTGTTTTCAATTGTTTGGGGATTTTTTGCTAAAATCGGCGAATTGGTTTGCATTTCTCTAGGATGGTTTTGGACATATCGGTCAATTGATTTGCATTTTGCTGCAGGTTGGATTTGGACGCTTCCAAAACCATTCTCATGAGCTTTAAACTGGTTAATCTGTTCGCATTTGTCTAGGGATTGGTTTTGGATGCATCCCAAACCATTTTCAGTAGCGCTAAAATCGGTAAATTGATTTGTATTTTCCCTCAAGGTTGGTTTTGGACGCATCCAAAACCATTCTGATGAGCTGTAAACTGGCTAATTTGTATGCATTGGAAGCGGTCCGTTTTGCAGACATAATTATTAAATTTACGTGATAATCTTAAGTCACAATTTGATGTATATGGATCTGGAAACAAGTCCGTCATTTTATCATTATTCATATTTTGTCTAAAGAATTGGTCGCAAAGGCTTTTACGCCGGTTGTACATGTTATGTTTTAAGGCTTTATTATAACTGATACTAACTAAATCTCAACTAACTATTAAAATGGCGGACAGTTCCTTTTATATGAAGTTACTGGCCAGCAGTTTCAACTGTGGGCTCATATCCAGTACTTCTTGTAGTAAATGTATATATTAACCTAATACCATAACACCTCTGCGCTTGGTGTAAATGCTGTCCGATTTTCCTAAATAACATAACTAATATATTTCTAACCCATAAATGCAAAATACTTAAGTAAATATCCTAATCAATTAAATATCTAAATTTATTCGATAAGCCTTTTCGGCGGTTTGATCATTCTACTTGATCTTCTTAGTTTAATGGTGGGAGATGTGACAATACTAGGAGTACCAAGGGTGCCTTGTGCCAATTCGGATGGCCCTGGGTTGCGGTCCATGCTTTCAGGCGGAGGAACCACTGGAGCTGCAGGAGTGGACTGCGTCGAAGAAGTACGAGTAGATGAAGTGGGGGAAACTTGTGTGTCTGTCGGAGAACCAAGATTACCCGGTATTAGTTCGGATCGCTCACTAATCAAAGGTGGAGATGGTGGACTATCCTGCAAAAGCTGATCGACATGGCGTTTCCAAATTCTCCCGTCTGGTAATGCTATAAGATATGAGTGAGGTTCCTTTCTTTCTAGAATGGTTGCAGGTTGCCATTTACCATTTGACTTGTAATTCCGAGAGAGAATTGGTTGACGAGAATGAATTTCCCTAAATCTTGCATTTTTATTCATGATAACTCTTCATCCGTGACTGGCTGGATAAAACTACACTAGCAGTATCAGGTTTTACTAAAGACAGTCTAGTTCTCAATTCTCGTTGGAGGAAAAGCTTGGCAGGTGAACAACCGGTAGTGCTATGCGGCATCCCTCGGTAACTCAGTAGGAAACTCTGAATTCGCTGGAGTAAACAAGACTGAGCGCTGGACGTTTTTAAGTAGTTCTTAAACGTCTGTACGAGCCTCTCGGCCTGACCATTAGATGCTGGATGGTATGGAGACAACAACATTCTTTGTATTCCATTTTGATTCAGGAGATCTTCGTATTCAACAGATTGAAAAGGAGACCCATTGTCGCTCACGACCTGCTCAGGCAAACCATAACGACCAAAAATGCAGCATAACGCATTGATTGTAGACCCAGCTGTTGTTGACTTCATTGGTCCAATCACCTCTGGCCACTTCGGATGTGCTTCGACCACAATCAAATAATGATTCCCTTCATAAGCTGCACGGTCAACGTGTATTCGTTGCCATGGCTTGGCTGGCCATACCCATGGATAAGAGGCGCTGCTGGCGGAGATGATTTAATATTCACACACTGCCGACCACTCTTGACGGTTTCCTCTATGGCAATGTCCAACTTCGGCCACCACACGTGACTTTTCGACATGGCCTTCATTCGGCCAATTCCCGTATGAGCTTCATGCAACATGCTTAGAACTTGTTTCTGGAACTTCGGGGGTATAATTACACGTAGGCCCCAAAGTAGACAACCTTGCTCAATGGACGATTGAAGTATGACTTCAAATCTGGATCGTCGCAGGTTTGACTCCAACCGTGCTGCATAAAAGTAAACACCTTACACAGAACTTTATCATGGGCTGTCTCTCTAGCGATCTGTTTAGCGGACACTGGATATCAATTCAGCTGCTGATCCGAGATGCTGAATATACGTTCTTCTACACTGGCATCAGCACGATACTTCAGTGGGAGTCCGGACAGGGCGTCTGCGTTCGTAATATCAGCAGAAGACTTGTGGCAAATTTCATAATGATAGGGTGACAGGAGTAGTGACCAACGTTGTAAACGCGCTGCTGCCAGAACTGGGATGCCTGAATCAGGTGCATATATCTTCAACAAGGGTTTATGATCAATGTATAACGTGAATTTCATTGCGTAAGATACATATAGAATATGGACTACCCCAAAACTATCGCCAGACCTTCTTTCTCGATTTGACTGTGATTCTTCTCGGCAGCATTCAATGATCGCGATGCGTATGCTATGGGTCTTTCAATATTATCAGGGAACCAATGGGGAATGACCGCACCAACGCCGTATGGACTTGCATCACATTCTAAAATAAGTGGTAATTCCGGGTTGTAATGCACCAGGACGTTGGCTGGCGAAAGGGAGTTCTTTGCCGATTGATATGCTCTCTCGTATTCAGGTGACCACTTGAACTCACGCCCCTTTTGGAGAAACCGATTAAGAGGATGAGGTTGTTCTGTGAGTTGAATTCCCAACGCTGAAATCATGCAGCCCATATACGTAACCGATTCCTGCATAAACTTGCATTTCTCCAGTTTAAGACGAACACCATATTCCTGAAGACCGGAAAGTGTTGCTTTGAGATTGCGAAGGTGGTCACCGTCATCCTTGCCAGTAACCAGAATGTCGTCTTGGATAGCTGCTACGTTGTCGATGCCTTGTAAAATAACATCCACAGAACGCTGG